TAAGCTTTGTTGTTCTTGTTTTAAGTGTAAATGTAAATTTGTGAGCCTAACATACATTTTAGTAAGGATGTTTAGATATTTTCATTAGGCAACATATGGTGTAAGAAAATTATTTTTTGCAGTGGGAAAAAAAACAGTCGATCTAGATGTTCAAATGAACTTGTCTCAGTAGTGACCCTTGCAGGAACATTCCTCATTGCAATATTTAACCTGGAGTCTTTCCATTCTCACTTTGGAAGCATCTTCGTGCAGATGTATGAACTTGCTGTGATTGTTGCTCTCTTAGGACGTGAATTTTGGCCATGATCGTTTGTGAACAGGAAGAGAGGGACACACACAAGTGATGATTTTAGTTGCATATTGAACTCCCTTTACACTGTTTGTCTTATGGAGTATGTAAAGTGTGAGTTAGATGTCCCATGTGACTTCCACCTTTGCACAGCCCTTGTAGCCATATTCAAAAACGCTCGTAATGTGTTTGATCTTTAGGTCTGTAATAATTTAGATCTCCTGGTCTAAGAAGCACAATTTCCATTAACTTTATTGGCAGAGACTGTTATCCAAGGTCTAAATGTTCTATAGGTTCTCTATTTTGAATATATTCCAGGTTCAGAAGTTTAATCTCATATGCTGTTGATTGCCATAAACGGTTATTCTGACTCTGCTTTCAGTTTGTGAAACAAAGTTTAAACACATTTAATCAATCTCAATCGAACGTGTCAACCGTGGCATTGTTAAAAAATGTGTTGCATTGTTTGTCATTTACAGAATTAGAAAGAGAGGCTGAAATAACTGGGCCTTCAGCCAGTTAATAAACTGTAACCATGGTCACTGCAGTCTTTCATTCTTTAATTAATTCTTTATAGTGTGTCTAATTAGAGAGCTTTAGTGGGAAATGAGTCCAGAGCCCTCTCTATTTAATGCGTTTTAAACCTATCTCCGTAGGTTTGCTGACTCAGTCACGACACTGCCAGTCAGTCCATTAACACACACATTTGTAATTAAATTATTCATTTGACTACTTTGCATGATTGCAAGGTTAATTGGTCTGTAAGGGCTTTGATCAAAAATATTCGTTTCCGAGACTTGTTTATAAGCAGTGGTTGACTTGTGGACCTAATGGACTACATGAGGCACAGATGAGGAAATATGCTTACATTGAAACTTGATTATTTTTGCACATTTAATCATATTTCTTTTGTAGGAATGCTTGGGTTGATGTCGTCAAGTCTATTTGGTTTATACTGAATCAGAGTAACGTTTGAAATGTCATATTCTACTTTTTTGTAGCATTTTAAGTCCACTTCTAATGTTGTTTTTAGTTTTGAATGAACATTTTGTACCCACTTCTGACCTTTTTATATGGGCTGTTTTTGTTTATATGTAAATGACCTCCATTGTGGTTGATAAACACTGACTTCATATTATTGATCGGAGGATAAATGTGGGTGGTCATAATGCTAATGTGCTCATAGTTGTGACTGCAAATGATTCAATTAAGCAAACTTGTGTAGAACAGGCAACATTTGGCTTTACATACAAATTAAATAAAAAACAAATAGGTGAAAATAAAGTTTAGTACCTTGCATCTGTGGATAGTTTGGTTATTAACTCACCAAATTGTATGCCGTTTCATACTTACTGGAAACCCAGTGTCTGCATTTTTTCAGCAGTTACTATAGTGTTATATGATTTCAACATGAATACCACTGTGCACTTTCAAACTGGTTCAATTCTCAGTTGTTTGAGAAACAGCATTTTCTTTTCAACAACAGCTGTGTTCTTTCTGGTAATTATCCATGGCTTTAATAGTCCTATAAAGAAGAATAGTCAGATGAAGAGCTTCCCGCTTGAAATGTCACTTGTCTGTTTATATCGAGAATAAACTTAAGCTTTGTTTGGGAACTTTCTATTAAGAATTCTGCAAAAATGCAAGAGTGCGTCGTGCAAACAGCCACTCATTCTTCTCTTTTTGGTTAACAAAAGTTATTCCGTTACTCAGCTAGGAAAGACTGTGTTGTATAATTCTGTGTTGCACATTTCTTGATTTTGTGAAATCATAATCAGTTCCACTAAAATCATGTAGGCTGGGAAACAGTGTCCTCTGCTTTTATTTCCATAGATCCATAGATTTCCATAAATCCTGTATTTCATTATATGTTTCATTATGCTGGGGGTGAGGAGGTGTGTGTGTGTTTGTGTGTGTGTGTGTGTGTGTGTTTGTGTCGGGCTGAGCAATTGTGTATTATCTCTATTGATAGTGCAGCAGGGCATGTTCTCAATGCAGGAGTACTCTGTACCTACCAATAAAATAGATTAGCAGACAGGAATAGGTTTGGCATCAGGATGCTGAAAAGCATCTTTCATCATGACCGGGAGTTTCAGATGAGACATTATGAGAAGAACTCTACCTGCACACTTTACTTGTACACTCAGCCTCTAGATCTGTGCTTCTCTGGTGGGTCACGACCCACAAATGTCTCACAGGGCTTTTCTAATAATGTTACAATCAGAAGTGGAAAAAAAATAGAAGGTAAATGCAAATAATAGCTTCCAGTAACCATTTAATATGATTATATGGGAGTTATTGTTTGCATTTGCCACCTACTTTTTTCTTGAATATAAAATAAGCTTTATTATTATTTGTATTTTCCTGAATATTTTGTTGTTAATTTCAAATTTAAATCCGATTCATCACTTCGAAATTTCTTAGCCAGCCAATGTCATATTAATAATTGTGCATATTGTTTGGCCTATGCAGTTATTGGTAATATTAATGCATATGATAAACCATTATAGTGCTAGATTGCAATTTGAAATTTGGATTCTGAAGCAAAACCAGATAAGAACCACTGATGAAGACTGTACATATTTACAAATGATTTGCAATGCTTTGATTTAGAAAGACAGTCTCAGATATAGAAACTCTCATGGAAAGTTGTTGAAAATCAAAAAATTTAAAATTAATAACACTCGTTATTAAAACATTATTGATAAACTATTATAGTATTTTGTTTATATTTTCTTTTTAAATTACAATTTTTGTTTAAGTTTTTGTGACTTTTTTTCTATTTAGATTTATTTTTATTCCAGTTTTTATTTTCAAGTAATTTTAGTACTTTGACTTGGACTTGCTTTATTTCAGTTAGGTGCCAATGTGATATTTCTAATTTTCTATTTTCTTAGTGTATTTTATTTCATCTTTAGTTTGAATATTTTTAGTTGGTTACTTAACAATAACAACACATGAGAAATACAGCTTCATGACACTCTCATGTGTTTTTGGAAAAAAGTTACTTCAGTGGCTTTTGTGTTTGTGGCTTTGCAATTCAATTAGGCATCTCAGATTGGAAAAACCCTAAAACGGTCCGATCTAAAAATATTTATGAAATCAGTGCTTCCATATGAGGTCATTAATAAGGAACAGAAAATGTCTGAGTTTGTGCACATTGGTGCATTTGCAGTGTTGAAACACTTTCCCCAGAATGCCAGTCGAGGTTACGAATCATCTTACGTGTTTGCGTCAATCTGCACGTGGCCGTTTTTGAAAGGCATCCATGTGGTTGTCAGGACAAAGTTAGAAAGCCAAGCTGTGAGGTTTGAACCATGTGTGTGGAGCCGTTGTCATTACTGTCCATTAATATCGTCTATATATTTATCTGTCTGTCTAGCTCCTGGCCAACCTGCTATATTTATTTATAGCTTCACGTCTCTAGCTGACTCGTAAGCCCTGGGCAGAGGGTGAAAGGTCATGGCGAGCGTGTGCAGCCTGCCTGCTCTTGATTGTGCTGACTCAAAGGTTAATGGGTCATGTGAGTTTGACCTTTACATTGACATTTATTTCCCCAGTGGACACTTCTGTGCAAAGTGACTTTCAAGGAATTGTATATAGGGAGTGTGTTGTGACATTTAGTCCTCAGCAGGTAGTGAAAGATTAAAATCAAATTCTTTACCTTGCTAGGCTCAAAATCTTGTACTGAACAAGAAGGAAACTCTAAAGTGAAATGTCAGTGGAAAGATTAATATGGCAGTGGAGTGGATTTGACTGGATATAGGCCTGTAGTGGGGTCCAAAAGTCTGGGACCACAGTGAAAATGCCTCTGTGATGTATTTTTTATATAATTTGAATGAAACGTTGAGTGAATGATATAAAATGTTGTTTATTTCCAAGTTGAAACAAAAAAATTCCAGCGTTTTTGGCTCCACTGTATGTATAGTTTGTGTGTAGGTTAAAATGTCTTTGCTTGTGCTATAGAAAACCAGTTTCACCCGTCCTATGGAGCAGCTCTGGCCCGAACCCAGTGCTGGAGGCTTGATTTAGAAATGCCAAACTCTCTCTGTTTGCAGATATGCCTGGGCTAGACCTGTTGGTTAACCCTCTGGTTATGCTAGCTGTCTCTTAGAGAGTTAAGAAGTGAAACAAGAATCCAAACAAAATTAAAAACAGTTAGTTGAGCAAATCATATCTGAATTTCCTTTGTCAAAATTGCACTCAGTAAAGAAAATCAATTCCTGTGATGGCAAAGCTGAATTTTCAGCAGTCATTACTTCAGTCTTGAGTGTCACCTGCTCCTCCAGAAATTATTCTAATATGGTGATTTGGTGCTCAAAAAATGTTTATTATTGTCAGTGTTGAAGTTAATACTGCTTTTTGTGGAAATCATGATCAATTTATTTTCCCGTCTTGAATTCTTCCATGAATAGAGAGTTGAAAAAGAACAGCATTTGTTTTTAATTAGAAATATAATGTATTTAAGGTTTGCTAAATGAAAATATCTAAAAGGTAGTGTATATATATAGCACTCAACTTCCAGAACTACTTCATTACTTTTGTAATTAAAATTTGCTGATTGACAAATCTTTTTTCCAAGTAGTTTTTTTTTATATCATTGTTTTTATAACAAATTATCATCATTTGTTTATTCCAGTACACACTGTCACTTGTTCATATTTGGATGTATACAGATCTGATATTTGTAATTATTATTTTTTTTTTTTAGGAAATCCAAGAGATCATGCCTGGTGTGGGTCACAGGGAGTCCTGGAACGAGACAGGCAGTGGAGAGAGCAGTGGTGAATGTGATGATGAGGACGGTTGTGAAGGTTCTGGAGAGTCTGTGGCATCTCCCAGTGAGTTAACAAGCAAACTCTCACCTACATCAAGACTTTCATGGCTAGTTTGTACTGGTTTGATGCTGTTCTCTCTGGCATGATTGTCTTACTCGTGAAGGGTTGCTTGTACCTCTGATGAGCAATGAAACAATGTTTTTTTTATTTGGCTGGTTAGCATGACCCAGTTAGCCCCTGCTGGTGGATGGCATAACTACATCATCTAGTTTAGTTCTAAATCTTGCTCCATTGACAGACCTTCAGAATTAGCCATATCATTTTATCGATTAGCAATTTCATCAATATATAAATAGATCATTATTTTATTTATTTATTAGTTTAACATTGACCATTTCAAATGCTTGTTGTCATTTTTTTCCGGATCATCTTTTCATATTTACGTAAAGCACGAAATGAACATGAATAAACATCAGAAAGTATTTTATTTCAACCGTGAAACGCACCATTTTTCAAGTTTAAGTGAAGTGAAGTGACATGACATGTGGCCAAGTATGGTGACCCATACTCGGAATTAGTGCTCTGCATTTAACCCATCCTAAGTGCACACACACAGCAGTGAACACACACACACACCCGGAGCAGTGGGCAGCCATTTTTTGCTGCGGCGCCCGGGGAGCAGTTGGGGTTCGGTGCCTTGCTCAAGGGCACCTCAGTCGTGGTATTGAAGGTGGGAGAGAGCGCT